ACAGTGTGGATTGCTCAGAACTCATTTGCTTTCTATTCTAGGGTTGCAAAGATTGTCATAAGCATTTAATTAACCCTTAAAAATCTAAGGATGCTCATTTTATAGATGATGGTACTGTGACAGAATTGGATGAAATGAGTTTCATGATGTTTCACAGATAAGCGTAGTTCATGGCAGACGAGAGGAATAAAGTGTAGGAAACCCTGTCTAGCTGAAATAATTGTTTCTCTAATCTTTGAATGCTACATGATGAAAAAAGATTAGCTACAAAATGTGATTTTTTTTCCAGTTTCTTCAAAGCAAAGTAATATGCTGACACTTCTTTTTAATCCACTGTTGTTTTTTTTTGAAAGCGTTAATTAAAAAAAAAATCTAACTTATTATCTGGATCTGGAGTCAGTTCCTTGAAATTAATGCTCAATATAAAAATCTAATAGGTAGAAAGAAAGATTTATTTATTTCATAGCAGCTGGCATAAATCTTGTTGCTAATGAGGATAAAATCCATGTAAATTAATCATTACAGTAAATTGTTGTAATTAGGATTTATTCATTACAAAGGTCTCATAATTATGTAATCAACTTTTAGTGTATTGAGATTTATACTCTTGACTCAATTCGATTTTATTCATTTAGAAGCAGAATTCACTGAGGGAGGAGTGTTTTCAGAGGCCGCCTGGCTACATGCTCTCAACTAGAGATGGAATTTTCAATCCTGTACAGATACTATCTACTTCTTGTGTTGCAGAAGGCTTGAATTATCTGGCAAAAATAAAACTGTTAGCGTTTTGAAAAGACTCCCCAAATACTGAAGTCAAAGCCTCCAGGAATTTTAAGTGTCAGGTGTTTCATGAAGTGCCTGTCAGCTTAACAGTCCTGTGTGCGTGTACATGAACATCATCTGCTGAGAGCTGTGCAAACCAGTGGTGGACCGATGTGATAGAAAGTTACTGCCAACACAGGATTGTCTGGGCTATTTAAAACTGGACTCTTTTTGATCTCAGTCCTTGCCAAGTGTTTAGGAGTAGTATCAGATATAACAGAGTTAAGGCCAGCAAACCAGCTGAGAGCTGAATACGCCCACTACTTTGGTGGATGTCCTGTACGGTGGCCAGAATCCTTCTGAGCCCTACCATCTCAAGCCCAGTTGAGGCTTCTCAACAGGGTACTGTGACAAAGTCTGAAAAATTAAGGCCTCTGCTTTCTCCTCTGTATTGAAAAGGAGAATTTTGCCTGCCTGGCCACTTCATTACCCAAAACAATTTTAAAAGCAGTGTCTAAGCATCTTCTTGGCAGAGCTGGAAGGCTTCAAGTGATACGCTGTAAATTACCAAAATATCTGTAACGGTATGCCTTGCTTTGAAGATCTAATAGTTGAAGACGAGATTGAATGGATCGATTGGATATGCCAGTTTCTGGCTTCAAATTGAAATTTATTTCTTGTTTTGTTTTTGTTTTTTTCCTCAGTTAAGCTTTAGGAAGTCTGGGTTGCAATTACAAATTTTCTTGCTTCCTTTTCAAAGTTATTGCCATTTAATAGTATATTGTAAAGGCTAATTCTTCTTATATGCTGCTCCCCATCCTTCCTGCTTCTACTAAAATTTAATAAAAGCAGCTGTACTGACGTGGTTTGGCTCTTTTTGGCTTCAAGAAAAGTCCTCTAGTCAACACTGTAAGAACATCCTCACGTCGTTCTTAATTATACAGTAGTTCTGAAAATATCTCTGAAGTTTGGAGGACAACTTTATTCTGATATGTTGCAGGTAGGGTTTTGAATCGATGGCTGTCCAACATTGCTGTAAGGTCTGTCAGTTTTTTCCCCTGCATTATGCTGCAGTGCAGAAGTAGCTTCATTACTACTATCCCCTGTTTTTCTGTTTAGACTAATGATAGATAAATGCATTGAATTAGTTTATCCTGTGTTCTTCAGCAAGGGCAGGAGTGCATAAAAAGTCCTGGTATCTTCCTCTGTTCCACCATTCTCCTGCACATATTAATGGGCTGTTATAAGCACCCATAAATCATTCAGAAAGAACATATTAACTCTTGTATGTTATTGTGTAAAGATTTTAGCAGCTTGTGTGACAGCTTCTCAGAATTTTGCAGGTACAACCAGAATCTGAAAATGATTCAGCCCTCATTTATAACCCTGGATTTAGTTAACTTGTTGATTTTTCTTCTCTAAGGGAAAAATAAATATTTCCCACTGATAAAAAAAAAAAAAAAAAAAAAAAAATTCTATAAAAATTTAGGAGTGCCTTGCGTAGGCATATTTTGCTTGTCTGTGTCTGAAGCAAAACTAAAGTATGCTTCTGAACACTAGGACTTTTTCAGAGATGATTCTTAAAATCCATGGATGCTTTCCTTTTCTTTTGATTTTCTTAAAACTCCATGTGAATTCAGGCCAAACATCTTTCCCCATCGCCTCATCTCCCTGCCTCTGCCTCCCATCCCCCTAATTTAAATAAGGCTGGGAATTCAGGTACTCGAAACCCTTGAGATTTAATAAGTTTCTTTGAGACTGTTAATGAATCACGATGAATGCATGCCCTATTTCCTACTCTTTGCTAAATATAGAGGTAGGACTGGGTCATGATGTCCTCTGGTGTCACTAGTACAGCCTTCTTAAATGAGTCAAGCTCTTTTTCCAGCTGTAGGGATTTTTGCCTTCACTATTCCTACTTAGGAGGTTGTTCCTGAACCTTATGGCTTGAATGCTTTAGAATCTATTTCTCATTTCTAGCTTGCATATGGGTGGGTGGGTACTTCAGACCAATTCATTCCTGTGTTGGCAGTACATCTTTAAATCTGAGTAGCTCTTCTCTCTTCCTGGTGTTTATCAGTGAATATACTGACTGATGATAATCTCGTCTTTTTTCAGCCTTTTTCTGGGAGTCTGAACACATTTGATTCTCCTCTTGTGCTGTAGGCTTCCAAATATAACTTTGTCATACAGTCCTGTTCACTTGTGCCCAAGGGAGGGCTTCAGACGGAGAAGGAGCACAGCATCCCGGATCTGATCTCTCCAGTGCTTGGTTCCCTTTCCCTGCTGGTAAAAGTAGAACTTATATACAGTGCAGATTTTATTCACAATTGCACATCATGTTCTGTGCTCGCTTAACTAATCACAAAGACTTCAGCACAGCTATGCAAATAAAGCGATTGCAGCTTGGCTTGATATTAACGTGCACTGGAAACTCTCAATCTTGTCCTCTTCCTCTTCTCTCACAGCCTTTTCATTACTGTTTTTTTCCAGATACAGTAAACTATATGCATGTTTTCAAATAATATCCTTTTATTCTGTGTATGTTCTATCGGTGGAATTTCATTTTGTTTTCAGTATTGCTTTTGGATTTAGCTGGAAAGACATAACATTTTTATTTCAATTGCCCATTTGTCTGCTAAAAAAAAATTGAAAGTCTAACCTCCTGCCCACCACAGTAATTAAAGATTGGAAGAATGATTTGGCTTGCAAATATTGCACACATAATGAAGTAGGAAAATGTGCTGAGTTACACTTGTGGATTAAAAGATCGATTGATTTCGTTCATAAAGCCCTGAAGTTGGCCACCATTATCTAAGAAAAATCATATTCATTGCTATGGTATGTAAACTTTCTTTGCTATTTACTGGGAAATCTTCTAAAGCTTAATTCAGATACCACCATAAATAAATGTCACTTATTCAAGACTTGTCTCCCTGCAGAAATACTTAATATGCTCAGTGTACTGCTGAGAGGGAAACAGATGGGAATAGCAGCCGAGGGTTGGGGAGTGACACACGTGTACAAATCTAACAGCCAGCATATAGCTTTGAGGGAAATAAGCCACTGTAAAGGATATCTGGTCTGGAGGCTGTGCTGGCAGCTGCACGTGTACACACACACATGCCTGTCTTGTACATATTCCTGCCATCCTTCATGCATTTCAGGTTTTTACCGTTTCTCAGCAATGTAGGTTTTTTAGTGTCATTCTCCTCACAGATTTCAAAACAGGTAGCCAGCACCTAACAGCTATAGTTATCTGCTAGCAGGGCTCCAGGGGAGGGAATGCAGTGACTCCATGAAGGAGCCTCCAGCAGGACTGAGGAGCACTGGAGAATTTCAGCTCCCATGTCACCAGGAGCAGTACTGGCTTCTCTGCTTGTCTGCGTAACTTACGGACTTGAATTGGCATTTTAGCATGGAAAACATGCAGCATCTTTTCTGTTTTTATTATAGTTAACTATGCTGAAGAGTTACACAAAATGTAATGTTGCCTCTACTGTGCTTCCTTTTCCTGCTGAGAGGTCAGTGCCATGCCATTACTGATGCTGTTGTACTTTGTCTCCGTCCTTGAGCAAGACTTAATTGCATCTTCCTTTCTCATTTTTCCCCTTCTCTTCTTTCATTGGGATTCACGACTACAAAATGCTTTACTTTGTTGAGGAAGATCTGGGTTTTGTTTCTAGTCAAAGGGTGAGTTACAGTAGCTCCTGCACAGGTACATTCTTGTTTCTATGCATTGGTTTAAGAGAGGTAGCAGCTGCTAGTTTCTGAAGGACTGTCAGTACTTCCAGGAGTGTACGACAAAACCTGTTGGCAGCTGAGGGGTTCATGTCATTAACTGGAGCATATGTTGGCACAACATGCCTTTGGGACCATTCCTTGAATGCATCTCTGACAAATTCTGACTCAATTTATTGATCCAATCTGAGTGACACAGGCATAAGCAGGATATATTCATCGGCCCTGATCTGTTTTTGTTATGCAGGGGAGCAGATTGGTTGGACGAAGGCAATTTTGGTTGACAGTGGCCAAAGATGGGTTCTGCATTCATGCCAAATGGTGGCTGTGCTATACAACTTAGAAGATCTTACTTACCATGAGCTGTACAAGAATGTTTCTCCTGTGGTTGGGATTGACTGCACCCTTGCAAAGACATTGTGTGTTGTATTAGGCACAGTCAAATGTGACATGGTAGTTCCATGACTCTTATTTCTCCTTTCTTTTATGCCTCTTAGGGTGTTTCAAAGATGACCGTATTGTGTTCTGGACTTGGATGTTTTCAACATATTTTATGGAGAAATGGGCCCCCCGGCAAGATGATATGCTCTTCTATGTCCGTCGAAAACTGGCCTATGTCAGTGGGGATAGTACAGAGGGGAAAAAGGTGAGTGAGTAATTAAATATTTTAATCTGGGAAATTTAATGTAATGTGGGGTTTGGTGTTTTGGAATACCTACCACATCTGAAAAATTGCAAACTGATGACGAGGAACCTCCAGATCTGCCCACCATGAAACATAGGGAAATACTGTGGTTAACACTGTGAACGTCTGCAGCAGTTTAAGTGAGCTTCACTATCACAGACTTGGCGAGATAAATGAGTTTGCACATTTTTGGAAGCTTTTATGATGGTCTCCATCATAAAAGGAAAAGGAGGGCATCCATACTGATTTTTGTTTCCCTTTTCATTAATAATGCTTTATAAATGAAGAGTTTAAATCTATAGAAAGGGGGAGAAAAAGGAGGAGGAAGATAGTTACTAAAGTGTTTCTAGGAAAAGGCTTCCTAAGATACTGGAGTATTTGAAATAAACAGTTACTAAGTACTCAGTAGCAGAATAGAAGCAGACTCCTAGAACTGGGATGCAGCAGTGACAAACAGTGGAGAAAATACTGTACTTTCACAGAATCACAGAATTTCTAGGTTGGAAGAGACCTCAAGATCATTGAGTCCAACCTCTGACCTAACACTAACAGTCCCCACTAAGCCATATCCCTAAGCTCTACATCTAAACGTCTTTTAAAGACTTCCAGGGATGGTGACTCCACCACTTCCCTGGGCAGCCTGTTCCAGTGTCTAACAACCCTTTCAGTAAAGAAGTTCTTCTTAACATCTAACCTAAAACTCCCCTGGCGCAACTTTGGCCCATTCCCCCTCGTCCTGTCACCAGGCACGTGGGAGAACAGGCCAACCCCCACCTCGCTACAGCCTCCTTTAAGGTATCTGTAGAGAGCAATAAGGTCGCCCCTGAGCCTCCTCTTCTCCAGGATGAACAAGCCCAGCTCCTTCAGCCGCTCCTCGTAGGACTTGTTTTCCAGACCCCTCACCAGCTTCGTCGCCCTTCTTTGGACCCGCTCAAGCACCTCGATGTCCTTCTTGTAGCGAGGGGCCCAAAACTGAACACAGTACTCGAGGTGCGGCCTCACCAGAGCCAAGTACAGGGGGACGATCACCTCCCTAGCCCTGCTGGTCACACTGTTTCTGATACAAGCCAGGATGCTGTTGGCCTTCTTGGCCACCTGAGCACACTGCTGGCTCATATTCAGCTGACTGTCCGCAATCACTCCCAGGTCCTTCTCTGCCTGGCAGCTCTCCAACCACTCATCTCCCAGCCTGTAGCTCTGCTTGGGGTTATTGCGCCCCAGGTGCAGAACCCAGTACTTGGCCTTGTTGAACTTCATGCAGTTGACCTCAGCCCATCGGTGCAGCCTATCCAGATCCTCCTGCAGAGCCTTCCTACCCTCAAGCAGATCGACACACGCACCTAGCTTGGTGTCATCTGCAGACTTAGTGAGGGTGCACTCAGTGCCCTCGTCCAGATCATTGATGAAGATATGAAAGAGGACTGGCCCCAGCACCAAGCCCTGGGGGACGCCACTAGTGACCAGCCCCCAACTGGACTTGACTCCATTTACCACGACTCTTTGGGCCCGGCCATCCAGCCAGTCTCTAACACAACGAAGCGTGCGCCAGTCCAAGTCAAGAGCAGCCAGTATAGGATCACATATGTAAAACTACATTTAAGACAATTTGCGCTACTATAGAAGTACTGTTTCCTGAAAGCATGTAATCAGGTATTATACATGGGTGTTTTTCAGTTAAAGATTAGAGAAACTTCTCAGCACGCTGTGGCAGTTTTCGCTTTAGTTGGGGGAAACAGAAGCAAGAGAAATTTATAATTTTATTGGGAATAAAGCAGATGACTGTAGAGGATTGAAAGAAGGAAGTTAATTGGGGTTAAGTTAAGAGTCTGGGGTTAAGTTCCTGACATATGTAAATAGTGCATACTGATGTTGAGTCACAGATATATGTGTGAGTTACTTGTTTTTTTCTTAAACTGGGTATACCCAAGTTCTTGAGGTTAAAATTTGACCATACAAGGAACTGTAATTGTCAACTCCCTTGAAAACAGGATTCTAAAAGACTTTCCAAAGGTTTTGTTGGAGAGATGGGAAATAGACAGGATTATCTTCTCTTTACCCCACTTCCCCATGTTTGGTCATGGCAGCCAGTATGGAGAAGATGGTAAAATATCGATCTTTTGCTGTCAGATTGGTAGTTTAGTAGTCCTCAGCTACAAATTCAGGATAGCACACTTGCACCTTTAAGACTTTTGCAGGAAACTTTGATCCTAAGTCATGACTTAGGATGACATGTCATGACAAAGGAACCCATCTAAGGAATGACTACAAATTCCTGTTTCACATTAAACAACATTGTGGCATTATTTAGCCTAATAAAAGCATGGATCATTTAACCTCTTGTTCTTCCCAATAAGAAAGGCGAACCTCAGAGGAAACCTGATTGCTTAAAATTCATTCTCAGACCCCTGATCAATCTCTGTTTAGCTTATTAATCAATTTAAAGTGTTTGAACCTCCTTTGGAGAGATGAAACTGAAATAACCCTTGCATTTGCTCTGAGCTTTATTTAAGCCTCATAAATAATTTTGATTTGTGAATTTTTTCATAAGTGGTAGTTATTAGAGAATCAGCGTTAGTGAATTGCTTGCCATAACAACTGACTTGGGGAGCATGCGTTATAGCACATAGTGTTTTGTATATCTCCCTTGTCTGTTTGCATTTTGCTCAGCTTCTGAGAAATGAGCCTTTCCTGTGACTCTGAAGTACTTTACTTCAATCTGAAGTTCGTGAAACTTCAGTTCTGTGGTTCTTTGGTATTTGTGTAGCTCTCCTTCTGTTTTATTTTAACTGACTGCTCTGCAGCTCCAGCTGCTCTTGTATCTGATTTTTGTGCCTGTTCTGTGCAGTGAGATACTACACTGGACTACCCTTATTTTTTGAATTATAACTAGACATATTTTTATTTCACTTTGTAGTTTTGTCAGCTCTTTCTTGTAAGATGGGTATCAAAACACCAAAGTTATATCATTAAAAGGAGGAAAAAGCCAGAGAACAATTGTTTTTTAGAATCTCAAAAAGAACTTCCAAGTATCCCTGCCACCCACCAGACTGTGTGCTCTCATTTACATCCCCAGAGATAGACTGGCAAAGTGGAGAATGGGAGAAGTTTGAGGTTGCTTGGGACCTTGAAGAGGTACAACAAGAGCTACACCGTGGCCTACCCCTTGTGTTGAGATGGTGTTGAACTGTCAGTGGTGATCACCATCAGTGGAGATGATTTCTCCACTGGCTGCACAGAAGCCTGACTGTTAGGTGTTTGTAGAATTTGGTCTATGTAGCTTCAGCATAGAGTAAAGAAGGTTCGTTTTATTTTTTTCTGTAGACATGTATTTGCTCTTCGTTTGCCTGGCTACTGTAGATTTTGACTGAAGAATGCTGGTAGAGAGACATGAGGTGAATCATTGTCCTGTGATATCTCAGTATTAGTTTACATTCATAAAAATAAGACCTGCAGAGCTTTGAGCACAGTAGTCTCCTGTAGGACTGATAACAATGACAGTGAAAACAAACAGAGAGAAGGGCTGTTTGAACACCAATAGTGATGTTTGGTTTCTGACATAAGCTCACACATCATGTTCGTATTATACACTATGATGTGATGATTCACATCAACAAGAAACAAGTGTTGATTTATTACACTCCTGACAGTTTTGATGTCCATCCCATATGATTTAAGTCATTCGTCCTTGTGCTTTTTTCCCCTATGCTAATTGGAATGGGAAAGCGTCAGCAATAATATTTGAATTAAAATGTAGCAGAGAATAAGCAGAGAAAAACTATTAGGAGCAAGATTAGTGAGAGGCTTGGTTCAATTTTAAGGCTGAATGAGAAGGGCTTTGAATTCAGCTTGAGTAGTGACAACAGCTTGAAGTAATACAACTCTAATCAGTAGATGATGATAAGCTTTCCTATTATCTGAAATTTCATTTTAAAGAGCCTTTTTAATGACCTGTTTCATAGGCTCCTTAGTGTAAGGGTCTTTACATTTGCTTCTGTTTTCCACTTCAATTTCCAAGTTGTGTATATCTAGGTGAAACAGCACTTAAGCCCTTAATATGGTTTATGCCATATCTAATTCTAGGTTACATCCATTACAGACTCCTGGATCCCAGAGAAGTGTCCTTTTTTTTCCTTGGCATTTTCCAGTAACAGTCCTGCAGTATTTCTTGCCAAGTATAGAAGATAATTTTTCTCTCTGTCTTTAAGCAAAATCACAGACCCTATATGTCAGGATTGGTGAAGGCAGAGCAATGTGGAGCATAGTTTTTAGTTAATAGCACATAAAAAGCCTATTAAGTAAAAATTAGAAAAATCTTTTTTGCTGCTGCCTCACACACTAGCTGATACGACTGACTGGAAAATGCAGGCCCTGATCCTCACTTACAAAGGGTTCTGTACATTACTAAAAGCCACAGCTTTAAGAGATGAAAGCAGTTGGACTTGGGGTTCTGATTTTAAAATGGCATTAGATCAAGATTTAATATCTCTGCCTCTTCCTCATGCAATAAAGGGTTATGCTGTGTTACAGTTGCAAACTTCTGATCTTTCTGTAGAAAGAAGCTTTACTTTCTCATGGGGATTAAGAAAAATCGTAGTATGTTCTTAACAGAGGCAACGGCTGAGTAGGGGTTTTTCCCAGAGTGATGCATCAGCAGAGCTAGTTTGTAGTAGTGCCTTCAGTCTGGCATCTTGCTTTGTCACATGACAAGGGTACTGTATTACATTGCAAAGTTATAAAAAAATGTATGCAGGACACTGTCAGTATATGTTCTGAGTGTGCCTGGATTTTGGAGTAGATCCTGTTTTCTTCAGCATCCTATAAATATGGAGGAGTGAAGTTGCTGCCAAATGCACGTGGTAATCATTCAGGCTGCTGAATCTTCACAGAGCTTAAGCTACTGATGTTGTGGCTGCAGCTTCGGAAACAGAAGTGAGCGGGAGCGATGTTTAAATGTTTGTGTG